GTCACGAATTTGTGGAGGTTTATTCCTTTTCACTGCGTCTCATATGTTTTTAAATGCAATCTGTGTGAATGGCGCTTCGGCTCTTTGGATTAAGCAATGCATAAATACATGATGCTGTTTTGTTCATAATTGTTTATGCAATTTATGAAATTATATTCGATTTTTATGAGTTAATTTAAACGTAATGCACGTTTTTTTATAGACAGTTATTTCCTTACATTGACAAATTAAATGCGCTGCATTATTTTGCTCATTGCGCCCATTGGGTTAATTTAAAAATACAGTGGTTCAATTTAAACATTTTTTTCTATTGCTCTTTGTTTTAAAAAAGGTTATAAAAAATGTCAATAATTATCGATACTGAACGATATGAAACATATTGTTGATATTTTTTTTTGATTTATCGCCCATCCCTAATATATATATAGTGAGAGAAAGAGAGAGAGAGCGAGCACCGTCACTAATTTAAGAAGCACCCTCAGTGATTTGATTCTGGAGCCTGGCCTGGTTTCCGGACCTAGAATTTGACTGTCAGTTTTTGTGTAAACATGGTATTTCTCTAGGTTACACTTTATGCCAGTTAGGTGGCTACAAGTGTCTGTCTTTACGAGTCATTGAATTATTCGCTCATTGAACCGATTTGCTCCAAACTCTGATTTGTTCAGGGAAAAAAAGACCTCTAGGGCAGTGCTGCCAAGTCCGCGGTTTCCCGCGGAATCGGGCTACTTTAACACTGTTGCCGCGGGTTGTTTTTCATTTCCGCGGGTTGAAGCGACTCCAATAACATGATATTTATCCCCTGGAATGCGAATTTCAGCAGGGGAACCCCACCAAAAAACGTGTATTTTACCCCCCGGAACGCGATTTTGCCTGGGGACCCCCTCGAAACGCGATTGGGCTAGTTTTGGGCTAGTTTGGAGTAGTGATTGGGTGGGTTTTCTTGTGAAAACCTGGCAACCCTGCTCTAGGGTGTTGCTGAGTGTCAGAGATGATTCTGCAGTGGCTTTGGAACTGTTTCAATTGGAGGAGCAAAGCTAGACAACGTCACTGAGTAAAATGAACTGTCAAATTAATGGTGACTAAAACTTATTGTTTATTGAACTATTGTGTAAAATTAATATCACAATTGCAAGCATGTTGTTTCTTAATGTGAACATGCACAAGACACACGTCTTTGACCATTGACTGTTAAATTCAAAACAGTGGACTGATCTAATCAAATTTCAAATTTCTGTTATTTCCATTTTTAAATGCAAGAACATGTTCTATGTGAATAGTGTTTATTTTTCATAATTTTTGCATTGTACATTTTACCTGTCTGTATTTTTTGTAGTTTTGTTTCCTGATCCTTTTGTTATCTCCCTGATTGTTTTGTACCTGTGTCTTGTTAGTCTAATTACACAGCCTGTTTTTTTGTGTTCATTGCAGGGTCTTGTCTTTGCATAGCGTTTCATTGGTGTACTCAGTTTTGATTTCCTTGTTTTCATGTTCCCATGTTCTTTGTGCTGTACTTTGGTTATTATTTTATTT